TGGCCTTTGGAATCGAAGAAGTTATTCCTATTGAGATAGGAGTCCCGAGCTTAAGGGTCAACCATTTCAATGAAGCATGAAATAGACAACTATTTCAAGAAAACCTTGATTTACTTGATGAAGTCTAAGAAGAGGCTTGACTTTAGACTTTATCTTACAAGCAGAAGTTAGCTAATTTCTACAACAAACAAGTTCGGCCACGAACTTTTAAAGTTGGAGATCTTGTACTTACAAAAGCCAAGCTAATTGGGTTTGAGAGTCGTTTTGGCAAACGTGCCCTGAATTGGGAAGAACCTTACACCGTTATTGAGATTCCTCACCCTAGTGCTTATATACTTTAAAATGTCAAGGGTAGAAGAGTTCCTGAGGTTCGAAATGTAAACAACTTGATGAAATTTTATTCTTAAATTTGTCATTTCAATTTCTTTTAACCCATTATTCAATTCCTATTATTCAATTCACTTCTCATACTCTTACCCATGCATTAGTAACTAAAATATCAATAAAACAAGTTAAATTAGTAAACAAACACACAAACCAAAATATTAAATTCAAACTTTATATAAATTTTCATTTTCTAACATATAAATATGTCAAAAACAAATAACTAAGATGGATTTACTCAATAAGCTGATGTTGCTAATCCATTTCATCATTTTGCATGTTGTTTCCTACTTCGGGACCCCAAGAGCTTTGACTTCATCCTTGTTAGCACCAATGAACTTGTAATCGAAGCTTGGTGGGAAAATGGTGTGTCCATTCTCATCTTAATCCCACTTGAGCATTACCTTAGGATGAAAATCAACAGTCTAGCTTTCACCATTTTCCTCCACTCCCTCTTCTTAAGGTTCGAATGTGATGCTGGTAACGTCCACCTTGGGATGTTGTGCCTTCACCTTTTTTCTACAATTATTGAAGGCCAACACCATAATAGAAAAGTGATACAGGTCCAACGATGTTGGAAAACATTCTAGACTTAACAAACTTGGAGATGTGAGTCTTTATGGAGCTCTGTATCTATAACTCAACATCTCGTTGTAGCTCAACAACCTTTTTCTCCATCTTAACAATTTGATTATCCTTCTTGGACAAATTTTCTTCACAAACTTTTCTTTTCTGCTCAACAAGCTTAGTTGCCTTCTTCAACGTAGCCATCTTATCTTGAATTTTATCAAGCTTAGAAGTTAAGCTCTCAACATTCTTTTCAACCTCTTCTTTTTACTTGCTGAGTTCCTTCTTTTCCTTCACTAGCTTGTTTTCTATCTTTAAGGGAATCCAAGTAGTTGTTTGCTATAGTATTAGCAAGATTGGCTCCCTAGCCCAATCACCAAAGTTAAAAAAAGAAGAAGAAGAAGAAGAAGAAGAAGCTAAGGATGTGGTGAACTACACTAGCTTTGCCATTTAAATCTACCTCGTCTTAAGGTCAAGCTAAATCCACCTCAAGAAAGGTAGCATCAATGCACCGTCTGGCAGTAGTCCTATTGTTGGGGTTAGTGAAACTATAATGCTTGAGATACAGAGTTTTGGGTGGGATAAAAGACATCTTCTTCTCGTGGGTCATCACCCCCACCTCCCTTATAGCAAGATTAACTACTACCTCGAAAGGATGAGGTACAAATTGACGAACCTCTTGCTATTGTTGCTCCTCTAACCTTTGCCTTTTTTGAGTAATAGCATCATCCTCAACCCTTATTTCCTGATCAGCTTAATAGTCAACATCATAGCTTAAACTACACCAATGTCAATTATTGGGAACTTTTTGAGTTGAAGTTGCTGCTAACTGAGGTGTAAACATGCCACCTCTAATTCTTTGCTCCACCTTAGCCACTATAGGTCCTTTGGACTTTTTCTTGGGGAGCATAGTATTCCCAACAACAACCAGTAAATGATTCATCTTGCTATAAAACAAATAATAGTTAAACTCTAATAAAAAATACAGTTTCAAATAAAAAAATAAAATAAAAACACACCTCCACTAAGCGAGCTTATCCTATACAGCTTAGCAGCTTTAATAACTTTAGGATTGATGAAGTGTTAGATATCTAATACATCATCACCCTCCCTAACTAACTTTTTAACTCTTCCCATTTTGCCAAGCTCACTCCATACTTATTCAGATTAAATTTCCTTGACCTCCATTTACACATGGTCTTAACCTCAACATCAGACTTAGACCATACAGTATCATCAACTAAAAAGTATTTATCTTTCCATTAACAAACCTTGATTCTCATTATTAAACACCTAAACTGTAAAATAGTACCACCATTTTTATTTCCTACTACCAGCCTTTATTACATAAAAATATCTAAACATATTTATAGATGGGTTATCTACCAAAGTTCGGTAAAACACCAAAAATGCAACTATGAGCCAAACTACATTAGGGATGGGCTGGGTTAGTGTAATATTATAATCAATTAATAACTTAAAAAGAAGCTCAAGTACTGGAAACCTCAAGCCAGTAGCTAGATAATAGGCAAAACAAGGCATCCAATGATCCCCTAAAACTGAACAAGCCCTCTCTTTCTTCCCAACAAGCCTCATCAAAACATGGGATGAAATCCCATAATTATTTACCAAATGCGCAAGGCTACTGTTACTCTTCCAAAAGGCCCCATATGCCTTCACCTTAAAGACAACTTCATTTGAGTCATCAAAGCATCTAGCTCAATTATTATCAACCTCCAAAATTGTGGGTAGAATCCTCACTTCATCCACCTCCTACTCACTTAGTTCAGCTTCAAAAGACCCACATCCCCCAAACTTGCATCTTTATCTTAGCCTATGGACCACACTTTTTCACCTCCCCAAATACTTAACATTTCTTTACAAGACATATCCTCAGTTTTGTAACTTTCACTACATGGTGTAAGAGTTGGGAAATAGGTAGGATCTTAAGCAAGCTTGATCTCACGCTATGATCTAACTCTAATTTCCCTAAGTGGACTTAAGCCTAAATTTGAGAGTGTTAAGGGCAAATCAAATTCCTTTCTTAAAACGGTAACAGAGCTCATAAAAGTTAACTAATCTCGGATAGCAAACAACAACACTTAAGGAAAAAATGAATTGGACACTGAGCATGAACATAGGGAAGCTCAATATACTATTAAAGCTTTGGTGAAACTTTGGCAGCACTTTGTAGCAATATTACACTATAAGTCAAAATCACCCCAAGTGTGCCTATTTATACTAAAACCTCAAAGCATTTAACAATCACAATCAATCCCATCTAACAGCTAAGATCATGCCTTTTCGAATTTAATGGTTATTTTTAACCACAGTAATTTATTACAACATGCTCCTCGAAGACGCCTTTTCAAATTTAGCGATTATTTCTAACCATAGTAATTTATTACAACACGTTCCTTGAAGACAGCTATTAGCTAATGCAATAATTGTTTTTCGACAATTTTAATAGGCCCATTAAAGGCTAACCCAAGCATTATAAATACTTCTCGAATTTGACATTACTCGTTACCTTCCATGAATTTTCACCTCAGCTACAACCACAAACACATGACTACGTGTTATGAATTTTTACCTTGGCTACAACAAAAAACACATGACTTTGTGTCATGAATTTTCATGTTGACTACAGCCACAAACACCTAACTAGATGTCATGAATTTTTACCTTGGCTACAGTCAAAAACAAATGACTATATGTTTTGAATTTTCACCTTAGCTACGGCCAAAACATATGTCTACGCGACATGAATTTTTATCTTGGCTATGACCACAAACACATGACTACGTCTCATGAATTTTTACCTTGGCTACGGCCACAAACACAACTACATGTCATGAATATTCACCTCAATTATGGCTAAAAGCATATGACTACGTGTCATGAATTTTCACCTTGGTTATGACTAAAAGCACATGACTATGTTATGACTTTTTACCTCCACTTTAGTTACCAACACATGACCTCAATCATGGACTTTTATTTTGGCCTACTTTATATCTTCATAACCACTTCAATATCACATACTCACTCTAACCTCATCATTCACAAGTGAATGACTTTGGGGAGAGAAATGGTGTAAGTATAGGTTTGAGATCAACCATCTTAAACATATTACAAACATATTTCTAGGGCTAGTAGTCACCTTCTTGAACCAAGTCTGAGCTTAAATCACTCAACAACCAAGGTATGACCTAAGTTGAGATGTTCACTCTGATAGCCACATTAGATTCCAATTATCTCATTAAGAAGGCCATGTTGATACCTCATTAAGGCCTATAAATGCTCCCCAAGGGTCACCAACTCTAGTTAATTGAAACCAACCTAGAGCTTGCTTTTCACTCTCTTTTCGAGGAGACCAAATTATTGCTAACTTAAGTATCAAAGTGTCTATCCCAAAATCCAACCTTAGGACATTGTAGGTGTAACACACCTCCCTTAGGCACCATTGGTCCTATGGGAGTGCTTAACTAGAAAATTTAGAAAAAAATAATGAAGCGGAAATAAAACACTTCTAAAATATAAAACATGCCCTTGTAAAACAATTCTGTCTACATATCATACAAAATATAAATAATGGAAGAAAAATACTTGTAAAGGGAAACTAATTTAGCAAAATGTATTTATATATATATAATGCTCAAAACTATAAAATAACATAGGTTGAGCCCTTTCTTCATTAATTTAGATATCATATACATAAAAGCAATTTACACAAAAATTATATGAGAGCAAATGCTTTTCAAAAACTTTTCACAATAATAAAAGTGGAATCATCGTTTTGGTAACACATTGATCTACCTTCACATCAAAAGCCCTGAGGTCCTAGCTTCTCCCTACAACGAGCATGCGGGACCTATATTATGAGCTACTCCAATCTACTAATCTGAAATAGGAGGAAATATTATGAGCTAAAAGCTTAGTAAGTATTAAGTTAAAGCTACAAACTTGGTTCTTAGGACCCTTAGACCTACACATGTGGAAAGCATAATAGACAATTAAATCAAGCTACATAATATTATAAATCTTAATAGTAAAATAGTAATTTAATATCACAAATTAGTTCACAGACAATCAAACATGTCAAGGAATAGCCAATGACATTCAACTCAAATTTATATCATAAAACCATATGCTCACAATATTATGTCACAAGCAGAATGCATAAAACAAAAATCACACAATGCTATGGAGTCCACTGATGTGTGCTAGCAACACTTGTATTGGAGTTAATCACAACACATACCCTATTGCGCAGAGATCCACTAAATACCCTAGAGGGTCCACTGAATACCCCAAGCTTTAAGCTTAGATCCACTTATTCCATAGCCACAAACACATACATATGCCAAACAAATTCAAAACACATTCAAAATAATATAAGAATATTATTTCATTTATTATTTCACTTGATCAGTTGCATTTCTAAGGCAATCCACTTTAAATATCCCATGCTAATTATAGATTTCACAAACAAGAGTTAAAATTGATTTCTTATTTTAACAATGAAATAATGCATAATTAATCAGCCAAAACTCAAGTGCAACAAGTCACAGGCATTACCCAAACTCCAATTAAGCATTCACAAGTTTTGCTTTATCATGAAATTTTCAAAAGTCTTCACATAAATGTACAAAGAAATATCAAAACAACAATAGCAAGTAATTAACAAATAAAATTCACACAAGATTCAAGTATAAAACCAACACTACTAGAAATTTGATTTTTTCAACCAACTATTTTCCAATGCAATTTGCACTGGAAAATAATAAACTATTTTAGCGTTGGAAATTAAAGTTTGGTGTAAAATATTTAAAATTTACAAATAATTTTGAAGTAAGACTCATTTTCCAACATTGAGTGCTGGAGAATAATTTAGCGCCATAATTTGGTTTGGAGCCTTTTTATTTTCTAGTGCTGAGCACTAGAAAATAATGTTTTTTGGTGTTGCTACTAACAAAGAAAATTTTCAAAAACAAAAAAAATATTTTCCCCTTTTTTTCCAGTGTCTTGTTTAGAATCAACAAAAGTAAAGATAGAAATGGGGTGCAGATTATTTTCTAGTGCTAAGCATTGGAAAATAACCCTGCCTAAGTTGTAAAGGTTATTTTCCAATGTAATACTCTTCTCCAATTGGTTTAAGTTATTCAGGTTATTTTGTAGCGCTTGGCGTTGGAAAATACTCTTGTTTGTCCAATTGGCTCAGGTTATTTTCTAGCGCTAAAAAATACTCTGATCCAAGTGGTCAGATTATTTTATAACGATTGGTGCTAAAAAATAAGTTTATTAAGAAGTTTAGGAGCCAAATATTCAAGTATCTTTTATTTAAAAAATTGAAAATCCTGCCACTATTATTTTCTAGTGCTTAGCGTTGAAAAATAACTTTACTTGAAATTTGAAGTGCAACATTCAAGCGCCATTTTTTTCTTGTAAAAATTTTCACAATCATGCCTACACTATTTTCCAACGCTAAGCCGTGGAAAATAATGTTTATCTATATAAACCTCCAACCTTTCCCTTTCTCAACATTTTCTCCCATCTTCTTCTTTCTTCTCTTTCATTTTTCGCTTCCCTTATCTGAATTCATTTTCTTTTTTCTCCTTTCTTCCTTTACTCCAGTCATATATTTCACCTTTTCATCTTATTCTTCCATTTCCTCTTCTCTCCTTTTCCTCTTCCTTTTCCTTTTCCATTTCATGTTCATTTCCTCTACTTTACTTCTTCCTTTTCTCTTGTTCTCTCCATTCCTCTTCCTTTAATATGTTACTTGAAATAAGAGGTACTAGTCATTTCAATTTATTGGTGGTTTAATTATCAATTTTATTTATATTTTTCTTTATCAATAAACTCTCATATATGTTACTAATTAATTTTTTTTATATATTTCAGGTATTTTTATGAATTACATGGAATTGAGGTATATTTATGTATTTAATTTCTTTACTTTTTATTATTATGTGTTATATCTTTGTTTAGTGTGTGTTCTAGATTTTTGTATATATAATTGTTTTTATATAATCTTGATTAATAAATATAATATTATGTTATAGTTAAATTTATTTATATTAAATATTATTTTGTATTTGCAAATATTTACTAATTGAATATAATTATCATAATGTAAAAATTAATGATTTTTTAAAAAATTTTCTAGATAGCATTGGAAAATAATAGTTATCCTTCTAATGTATCAACTATTTTCCAAAGCTAAGCGCTAGAAAATAATGGCTAACCCTCTAACGTATCAACTATTTTCTAACACTAATGACTAACCCTCTAATGTATCAACCATTTTCTAGTGTTCAGCGTTGGAAAATAAGTGATAATGGCAACTTAAAACACATTATGGGTTTGTCGTAAACCATTATTTTCCAACGCTAAGCACTTGAAAATAGTAGTAGGTTTTTCCAGTGCATTTTTGTAGTAAAAAATAATTATTTGGCACGCATTTTTTTTCCATTAACATTTTCCAACACAATGCTAGAAAATAAGAATTTTCCAATGCATTTTGAGTATTTTCTAGTGCAAAATGCACTGGAAAATAGGCTTTTTTTTAGTAGTGCAAAACCCACTTCTAATTCAAGATCATACATATACCCAAAAATCCAAATATTACTAAACAAAATTCTAATACACAAAAGTCTCTTAAACACAAAATTTAGAGTCAAATTTCCCTAACTAAAACTAATTTTTAGTATATTATAGCAAAATCTATAATTTATCAAAAAGCATAACCCAAATCTATAGCTAAAACTCATACTTACCCATAAAAAGCAAAACATCAAATTGAAGAGAACAATAGAAATTAATAGCAGAAGTTCAAGAAGAAGGTCAGTAGCTGGTCCGCTCCATGTTGCAATCTACAAAAAAGTCTCCTCTATTAGTAGAAGCTCAAAAGAGTAAAAGGAAATTGGTTTTCGGGAGTTTAAGTCAAAAAGGGATTTTTCTCTCTAAAATCTTTCAAAGGAAGCTCAAGTGCTCCACCAAACTTTCCTCATTCAAGACAACACACTTGGTTGTCATGTTGCCACATGTTTCTAATTTGGCTAATATATTTAAATAGTTTTCGACTATCTCAAGATTTCACATAAAATTCACATACTTTAAATCTAGTCAATTCAGTCCCTAAAATGTTAAAATAAAGGACTCTAATTTCTAATCTATTCTAAAAGTATATGGGGTGTTATAGTAGGTCAATCTGAAGAGAAGATTTGAACTGGAAGTGACTTGAGGGTTTGTCGCAATCATACTAAATTTATTAAGTACTATGGTATTCTTATACCCTTGAATATCTTCAATAAAAATTAAAATATATTTAAATTATTGCTATCTTTCTTTCAAAATAATAGATGTTTTTTATTTTTATTTCGAGATTAAGAATTTAAGGATAATTTAATAAAATGAAAATAAAGAATTTTTTTTAAATAAGATAGATAATTAAAATTAATCAAAGATAATTATAAGGTTACATTGGAAAAAAAATATTTGTTTCTCTTAAAATATAAAAAAAATAACTATTATTCTAAAATAAATCTTAAATCGAAAAATGTTTATTATTTTGAAACGAAAAAAATAGTATATAATAAAATTAGGTAAAATAATATAGAAAGAAAAAATTACATATCTGCCTTAACTTTCAAAAAAGTTGAAGTCCCAACCTCAAAGACATCACCCTTTGATAAATATTTTTTAAAACCAATTGTCAGATTTGGTATTCTATTTATATAAATTATGCATGTCAATTTTCAAGTTGATTTAACATTTATAATCATTTGATCAAGAAACTTGTATTTTCTAATATATACTTAATGATGGTGAAATTTTTATAAATAATGAACTAGTTATATATATTCAATAAATTTAAAAATTGATACATATAATTCAAATGAATAAAACACAAAATCTAACGACCAATCTTATTATATTATAAAAATTGTTAAAATCAACCATAAATACATAATGAAATTTTAAAAATCCTCAATAAATACCTTAAATATCTTTAATAAATCCCTTAAAAATACTCATAAAATCTCAAATAAATATCCAATGAATGTCTTTTAAGATGTCACGCCCCAAAACCCGAATTCGAGGCGCGACAGATGCCGTGCACTCGTGAGAGGGTCCCACAAATGCACAAGGCTCGGAACTTATCCACTTCACATCTGACGATCCAATCACTTAAATCATATATTTCAATAATTCTATGTCCAGCATGACTTAAACTTAAAATCTCAAGGTAACATCTATCTTACAAAACATGATTTATTTCTAAAATCTATATCGATCCCGAAATGGCTATCCTTCTAACTCGTCACTTCCCGTGGTTTCCCCGTCCCCGGTTTCACTTCCTGAAATGGTGGACAAGGAAAACTATGAGATAACTCAGTAAGTAAA